AATAAGATACTATGGTAATACAGTGAGGTAGATAATGCACAGGTTACTGTGAGAGTACCAAGAATGATTGAATGCTGGATGAAAGGAATTTGAGAGGTTTTCAGGAGGAGACAGAATCTTACGAAATCTAAAGTGATTCTAAACAGTACTTTCAAACTTTAACATGTATTTAAATTCCCTAGGAATCTTGTGAAAATGCAGATTCTTAATCAGTGTGTCTGTCCGAGTAGTAGGACCTCAGATGCTGCATTTCTATCAGGCTCTAGGAGATGTCCATGCTGCTAGCCCCCAGACCATCACAGGGTCACAAACGTCTTAAAGGATGGAAAGGAGTAAGTAAGGGCTGTGCAGAGTGAATGCGGGCAGTATAAACAGCATGAAGTAAATCACAGAGGTAGAAAACACCTGATTATATGTGATGAGACTGAAGCACACTGGTGTTTCCAGGCAATTTAAAAGGTCATAAGTGTCTAAACTGGGAATGGATGGGAGTATGACATATCATTGTGTGTGAGCGTGTGTGTGCGTGTGTGTGTGTGTGTGACAGTCTCACTCTGTCACACAGGCTGGAGTACAGTGGCGCGATCTCGGCTCACTGCAACCTCTGCCTCCCAGGTTCAAGCGATTCTCCTGCCTCATCCTCCTGAGTAGCTAGGATTACAGGTGCCCACCACCATGCCGAGATAATTTTTGTATTCTTCTTTTTTGTTTTTGAGACAGAGTCTCACTCTATCGCCCAGGCTGGAGTGCAGTGGCATGATCGCGGTTCACTGCAACCTCTGCCTTCCAGGTTCAAGTGATTCTCCTGCCTCAGCCTCCCGAGTAGCTGGGACTACAGGCGCCCACCATCATGCCCGGCTAATTTTTTGTATTTTTAGTAGAGATGGGCTTTCACCGTGTTAGCCAGAATGGTCTTGAACTCCTGACTTCATGATCCGTCTGCCTCGGCCACCCAAAGTACTGGGATTACAGGCGTGAGCCACCACGCCTGGCCAATATTTGTATTTTTAGTAGAGACAGGGTTTCACCATGTTGGCCAGGCTGGTCTCAAACTCCTGACCTCAGGTGATCCACCAGCCTTGACCTCCTGAAGTGCTGGGATTACAAAGGCTTGAGCCGCCCGCCCGGCCAGGAGTATGGCATGTCTTAAGGAAAAGAGAAGTTATTATATGGATGACAGAGTATATCAAAAATTCTTTAAGTAGGGCAGTTATATGGTAACAACTGCAAATCAAATAACAAGTCTGGTGGCTTCACTGGTAGAATAATGGACAAGAAGATAGTATGCTAGGCTACTTAAATAAACCTGCTAAAGTTGAGGAGGATCTAAACTACGGCAGTAACAACAGATTTAGATGAAAAGGGACTGGTCTGAGAAATGGCTAGGAAATAGAATAGGTTAATTGTGTCATCACTTGTTAATTAAAATATCAGGTGGTTGTTATTCCTTTGCATTTTTTTGCAGGCATCATATCTATTCTTAACCTGACACTTAGTAACATGTGATCTTGGACAAACCACTTACCCTCTTTTATCAGTTGCTTCCATATCTTTTTTAAAAATGTGAAGATTTGACCCAAATGAACAGTGTCATTGCTTTAAACCCTAAAATTTATGAGTCTGTGAACTAAATTCATCTGATTGACTTGTAGATTCATAAAATGTATTCATAGTACCTACTATAATACCTGGACTTTATAAAATGAATTCTTAGTATCTACCACAATAGCCATATTTTATATATATATATATATATACACACAATGTATATATGAAAATGTATTGTATGATATATGTACAATAGATGACAATATATTACAGTACTAGTCATACAATGTGTGTATGTATATACACATACAATATTATATGACTATATGAATCTACCTAGCTGACAGGTATTAAAACTTGAGACTTTTAAAATCCTTCCTCTTCTTTGCCCACCACATTCATTACCAAGTCCAGTGGTTTGTTATATGTGCCCTACTGGCAATTCTTTGGTTTATGCACTTATTTTTTTAACTGGATTCCTGCAATAGGACCTTAAATGTTCTCCCTGGTTCCAATCAAATCCCTTCCAAACACTCTCTGAGATGGTAAAGAATTCTGGAGTCAGAAAGACTTGGACTTGAATGCTAAGTCCACTGTTCCTTAACTATGTGATTGTCAGCAAGTGATTTAACCTCTTTACACCTTCGTTTCCTTACCTCTAAATTATAGGGATACTAGGAAGATGAACTGTTTGTAAAGTACTTACTGTAGTGCCTATTCCACAGTGGGAACTCAGTAAGTGTTAGTTATCATTTTGAAAGACACATCTCAAAAAGATTAGAGCAGGTACTTCAAAAAAGATGAAAATCAAATTACAAAAAAAAAAAAAAATGGAAAGATGCTCTTCTTCATTAGTAATCAGCAAAAGGCAAATTAATACTTCTAAGAGTACAATTATGTATCTACCTGATTAGCAAAATTTAAGAACTTGTAAATCAAGTGTTGGTGAGGATGTAGAATTTCTCATGTACTGCTGCTGGGAATGTAAATTGATGCAACTGATGGGGAAAATATTTTGAAATTATTTAGTAAAGTTAAAGGCGCACATACCCAAAAACTCAGCAGTTCCTTCCCTTGATATTTATCCTAGAGAAGGGTAAATATCAGAATCTATGAGAACTAATATATATAAACATAAAAATGATATTATATTTATATTTATACTAGCATTAAGTAAAATATATTTAATCTAAATGTTCAACAACAATAGACTAGATAAGTAAATATTAGCATATTAATATGGTAGAATACTATACAACAATTTACATGAACAAACTACATGCATGAACATGAAAGAATCTCACAATGTTAGCAAAATAATCAGGCGATTGAAAGTATACATGCTATAATTCCAAATATATGGAGCTGAAGCATAGGCAGAACTAAGATTCACAGCCTAGAGATGCACAGATAGATGGAAAACCTCCAAGGAAAACAAGGTAATGTGCATGACAAAAGGTGGGATAGTACCTAATGGTTACCTCTGGTGGGGAAGGAAAAGTATGTGATCCAAAAGGGACACATAGGGGTTTGCTGGGAGTCTATTACATCAAGTTGATTTATTTGTTTGATTTGTTTTATGTTGTTTGATTTGTTTACATTATGTTTGATTTATAATTATTCTTTAACCTGTATTTGTTTTATACACTCTTCTATGTGTATGGTATATTTCACAATTAAAAAATAAACTGATTATGTCAGACTCCTACTTAAAATCTTTCAAAAGCTCTTCACTTTGAAACAAAATCCAAACTCCTTAATTTTGTCTAAGAGATCCTTCATGGCACATATCTTGTATCCCGCTTCAACTTTATCTCTGCCACTACCATTTCTGCTTCAGCATAGTAAATGACACCTAGTATCCCCATACAATCATGCTCTCTCAGGCTTCCGGGCCTGTTAAAAAATGTTCCCACTGTGCACCGCATCCTCCCTTCCTCTGGCTATACTTTCACTGTGCTTAATAGTCCACTAAAAGATCCCTTCCTCTGGGAAGGCTTTCTTGACTAATCTCTACCACATCTGTGTTAGAGTCTCCTCTGATGCACTTCCTTTGGCACTCTAGACTTACCCATGTAATAGCACTTTATGAGTGCCACACTCTTTAGAACACAACTACCCCCATTAATAAGCACATTTTATTATAAGTACCACACTCTTTAGACTGAAGGCTCCTTTAAAGCAGGGACTGTCTTTTATCTACCCCAAAAGCTAAACATGCTACCTACATCACAGATTCTCAAAAAGAGTTTGATTAATGAATTAATATTCAGAATGGAGAGAACATAGTATGCTTTCTACATCACTGGGAGTAACACATACTATATTAGGTTCCATCATATAAAATTGTCCTAAAATTGTATTTTAGGTCAAAAATGGTTTGTTATTGGCAATTGTATATAATTATTTATAACACTCATTGAATACATGTTAATTAAGTGCAGTATAGTGATGGCTATTAGATCTACTTTCTCAATGTAATGGTAGACAGATGGTTTTTTATGAATTGTTTTATAAAATCACAATATGAAATAACTCTAAGATTAATTTCATCAGTCTTCCACAATTATACGTTATGCATTAATTCACAGGGCAGCCTACCTATCTAGAGTTATATAAGCCACTAGGCAAATGAAAGAAAGATATTGATCACTAGCTCAAAATAGCTTCTTTTGGAGTTTTATAAGCACCACAGTCATACTCTAGTTCTCAAAGATGTTATCTGACAGATTATAACTCGTTCATTTCTGCTGGAATCTATTGATTATTGACTTTGGTGACTATGAAGCACCAAGTATTTGATTTAAAAGGACATTCTACCTGTGTGTGCTGATATTTTTATAAATTAATAAGTTTTTAAAGTCATTCCAACTAAGCAGAGCAACTGGATCTATTTTTAATATTGTTTTGTTAAGCAAAAGGATTTGTAGGCTAAAATGCCCATGAATTGAGTTTTATAAAACTGTGATTTCTCTTCTCGTATTTCAGAAGAGCTAAACGGTGTGTGTGTCTGTGTCTGTGTCTGTGTGTGTGTGTGTTTTCCTGAAAGAAACTGAAAACCATAATTTAGCTCAGAACCAATTTTTCTACTAAAGGAGATGAATCTGTAAAATATAGTACAATGCTGCAAGTAATAAAAGTCACTTAAAAATAATGGTACCCAGCTGTTACTCTGCCACATGAAAATGTTAATTGCAGGTATCATCCATGGTGGTAGTATTACAGTGTTATATGCTGCACTCATGCACCTCAAGACTTTTCACTACTGTATGTGGTGTTAGTAGTACCACACCAACTATTAAACTTCTGTTCTATTGATTTTCACTTCTGTAGTTGAAATTATTTGGAGCAGTATTTCTCCAGATCCATATACCAAACAATATGCAATATTTAAATTGGCTATATAGATCACAGTTTTCATACTAAGGAATATTTTTAAATTGGCAACTCACCACAGCTTGTATGGATTCTCATCTATAGGAAACAGGTCTAATTCAACAGCTTCTTGTATGAGTTGCCATAGTGAAGATCTGAGATGGGCCTGCCGTTGGTGTTTCTCACACTAGCCTGAAAACAAAGCCGAAAAACAGACGAGTTTGATTTTAAGATTTAAATGGGAATTTCACCTGTATTTAGAAAACCAAAAAGCTGACATCAAAGACAACTGGTTACTGTGTGGGTGAGTGCAGGCAGAGGAGAGAAAACATCTCAAGATAGTTATCTCTATTCATAATTTATTGCAAGCACAAGAACTTTGATGTTATAATACCAGAACAACTATTTTAATATCTGAGCATAAACTAAATTAGTAATTCTTATTTCAGTTGATATAATTGGTCTTATGATATGAATTTGGTTTTCTAATACAAGGCACCCCACTTATCATTAACTGGGACAGCTCCACTGTTACATATATTTACATATTCTGCTTTTCATAAAAGATTTCATTGGAACAATGGTTACATAGGTACCAATAAAGGAGGAGAATTTTGAAAAACCTCTGAAGTATGCAAAAGAAAGTAAACCTAAGCTGGAGCTAGTCTGAAGAGACTTGTATTTATGTTCTTCTAGTTACAAACCTACTTTTTCACCATTATAGCCTGTTACTTCCCAACATTATATTAAAGAAGATTCTTCAGAATATGTGACATTCTACCCAATGTCAAACCATAAGTTTTTATTTCTAGTTTGGAAAATATGGTGATCATACCCAAAATAGGCCTCTTCTTTACCCCCAACTAAGAGTCTCTTTCCTGCCCAGGTGCTTACAATTACTCCTAGGACTACCACCCTCTCACTATCCCACGACCTCACCCCGACACCCCAGTGTGGCCCCATTGTCACCTACCACCACTTCAGAGGAGGTGAATTCCTTTCTCCTGTGAATTTCTATTGCACTCATTATCAAAACACTAATATGATCCCTTGATTTTATACCATCTTTATTGTTATTTAGCCTCATCTTCCCAAATGGCAGAAACTGTGTTACAGTTTCCCAATTTTTTCTACCATAGCTCTTAGCAGAGAATTCAGTACATGAGAGAGATTCATTCAATGAATATTTGGTGTGTCCCTATTGTGTGCCAAATAGACAAGGTCAGTCCCCGATGGGGATTAAACCTTAGTAGAGAATACAGGTAATACAAGAATAGGCAATTACTATCTTATATAAGTGCTGTGATGGAGCTTCCACCTACAAACACCGAATAAACATTGCCAAATAAACAGACCTAACCTAGGAGCTTCACTTCACTATCAGTGCTTTCAGATCCTATTTCCAATGTATAAGAAGAGGACAATTGCTTTAAACAATCCATTTTCAGAAAGTACACAGGGTACCCAGGCAGGTTAACACAGACAAACAGGAGTCAGTTTTATTTCTATGAAGACAAGTCACTAAGATGAATTTCTAGAACTTTAAAGTCACTGCTGTTTTTGTTTTTGTTTTTCTTTACACACACACACACACACACACACACGTACAAACACAAGGTAGTGAAAATCCTGTTTATTACTGTGCAGGTCACTGCAACTGCCCGATTGCCCTATAGGGAAGCTTTGCCTTAAACCTGTACACCACGCAGGGTTTTAGAGCAGCTGTGGTTAGGGATGCTTCTCAGGAGACTGTATTCATTTCTTTTTCCACTGAAAACTTTAATTTCCATTCCTACGAGCATTATTTCCATAAGCCTCAAGGGTTTTACATCTCATAGTCACCAGAGATAAGAACAGTAACGAAAGCCATAGTGGCTTGTTATGGATCCAAAACATCAAATAAACTAGAAAATCATTTACTAGAAGTAGTATATGTGTATTTTTTTAAACCTAAAATATATAGTATATTTTTAAACCTAAAATGTTTCTATTTAGTGATTTTCAATATTACCTGATATCTCCTCTTAAGAGTTTCTATCAAGATTCACAATAAGAAATAAAGCTTCTCCCTATTAAATACAGAAAACAAAAGGTACATAAAACACAGTTTTTGTATTTTCCCCTTCTTTGCCTTGACTGGCTCATGAGGATAAAATGTACTCAAACTGAAAAACCTTGAGTCAAAACCTTACAACTTCGCTATGCAAACACGTACGGGTAGGTGAATTTGTGAAAAGATGGGCTCGAATTCTAAGTTACATTTTTTAAACAATCAATATGCAGCATGATCTTTTTATCTGAATCAGCAGTACAGTGTCTCATCTCAGACTTATGTAATGCAATAAATACATCCAATATGCCAAAGAAGCAAATGTACTCTGTTCTTCTTTACCAGTAAGCGTCTCCCCTACTAGTCTACAGGCCCAACTTTTTCCACAAGTCCTTGGTCCTCAGAAGAAGGTGCAATAATAGATGCCTGTGTGGTAGGAGGAAGGCACTCAGCAGTCCTGCAGCAAATAGAGCATTGTACTCCATTCTTGTCACTACTGGACACTTCCGTGCCTCTTTCTGCATGATTGTTGCAATGTCCAACCAAAAGCTTAAAAGAGACCGTAAGAGGAAATAGAAAGGGCAATGAAGAAAGAATTTAAGACAACAATGTGTTTGCTTCTCATTCTAATTGAAGGCAGTCTCTCTTGCTCCGAGTCCTTTATTCTGATAAGAAACCAAGCAATCACTCTATTTGAACACAACAATTCCACTGAAAGTCCTTTGGCTACAAATGTGACCTGAGGCCAGAACTAGAGCATGAAGAGAGAACATCTATCCTCATATTTAACAAACAAGTAAACATCCAATTTGTCTTTAGCTTTTAGTATCAGTATAAAAAGAATTTATAACTAGGCTTACATCCAAAGAAACAGATTCATTTACATGAAACCACAATAAAACCTTAAAAATATACTTATGCCTTTAAACATGGGAAGTTTTTTTAGATTACTTAGGTTGGGCAAATTTGTTTTGCTTATGATATTCCTGTAGGATATACTAAGAAGGAAAATCTTATTAATTTTCCTATAAATTTAAAATATTTACATTTTATAGCATTGACAATAAATTCTCAGTTCATTCTAACCTTAAAATATATAGACCACGTACTATGAGACCATTAAATACTAATAGCTGCAGACATACCAGACAATGACAGCAAAAACACACTCAGCCCCTCTGGGATCTGTTCATAAACATCCCCTTCCAGCATGGCAAACACACTCCTCTCAACAGCAGATGCTGTTCTGGGGCGAGCAGGAAGGAAGCTGGAGGCAGCTGATTTTCCCACTCTACATATAATTTCTTACTGCCTCATTATCCAGAATCTTTTTACTGAAACTGTGAGGATTTTTTAAGAACAGGAGCCCCTCAAATTAAAGACACTTTGCAACAGCAGAGGAATGACACGCATATGAGGAAACATGAAGACTCTCTAATATTTAAGGTCACACCACCTTTGTCATCTGATTTTCTAGTCCCATTGTAGGGGAGAGAAAACCCAGCTTGCTCTACATAATAAAATAAGCTAATCCAATACTTTATGTCAATTTTAAGAGTGTGATCAAGGTAGAGAGGGGGATACATACCAGAGGCAGCCAAACTGCTACATCCAAAGCATCCAACCCCTAAAATCTAATGGTTCTGAAGTGGAGTCAGAAGCTTGTGATATATTTATATATTTATTTGTTATATATTCATAACATATATGCTCACCTAAAGTAGAAAATTCACAGAAGCTTCTCTGAGAGAAATGTTCCTTACTGCAACCATTTTAAATATGTTGATAAGCATTCCGTGAGATCTTCCAGGGTCCGACAACTAGCAGATTAGGGATAGAAGGAGATATCGGATGTTGTACTGGCAATGCCTGGTGCATTTACACTCATTTTCCTTCCACCTGAACTGTGGCCTGTCCCATATGACTTAGCCTGCTTCCTTGCAGTTTGTTCATAAAAGTTATCATCAACATGGCCAGAAGCAGGCAGGGCTGCTGTACAGACACTGTCAGGCTCTGCACCAAAGGCAGCCCATGTAAACAACCTTGTGATTGCTTCAGAGCCTACTGCTGTGGGATAAGCCATTCTTTTTCTGTGGCTAAATTGCAGTACCCTGGGAAGTTATCTGTTTAAGGGAGTAAAAGCAGAGACTAGGTCTCTAGATTTAAATGTGGGGGGAGGGTGAGAAAAATATATGGATAGATAGTTTTCTTGTAATATCTATAGCCTGATTTACTTACAGATTTTCCAGTAAATTACATTTATTTTGTTGAAGACACAAACACATAGATCCTAATAAATATACTGCCATACTTATTTCTGATTTTTTTTTTCAAAAGAGCTCTGACATTTGTAGGGGACACAGTATCCCAGCACAGAATACCTGGGAACCTTGCCATGAAAAAAGAAAGCTGCCTGCTGTGACTAGGAGATCACTTTCTTAAAGGGACCCATTACCTATTTGACTGCAGTGCCAATGTTTCCTCTTATCTCTAACCTGACCCCTGTTCTGTGTTCCTCTCCCCAGCTCAGATTTAGCCTGGAGTTGCTCTGCAAGAGTAACGCCAATAGTTTTACACCTAATATATATATAAATACTGTTCCTTAGTAAAATACATCTTAAAATATTTAAGTTATACTTCTCACAAAAGTAAACATAAATACATACTAAAAGACATTATTTTTAATGTTTTATGGAACCCATCACATTTTTCAGATATGGAACTAAGGTCAGCACTTCTAACAAGCACAGCTGTTTGGTGTTTTTTTTGTTTTTTTTTTTTCTTTTTCTCTCTCTCCTTGTGCGTGTGTGTGTGTGTGTGTGTGTGCTTCTCTCTCTCCCTTCCCTTCTGTAGCCCTGCATTGGTCTAAAAACCCCTGGTCACAATAAGAATGCTCCCTCCCTCCTTCTGCTACCCCTCACTCCAAACAGAAAGGTTTCAACACGCCCAAGTCTGGAAAGAGATGTTCTGCACAGAGGGAAAAGCTGGTGGCTTCTTGCCTCAAAGCTAGTTCACTTGATTAACCTGCTTTCCACCCATCTCTCTCGTCTCTTCCATACTCCCTCTCCCACCCCACCAAGAGCAATCAACATACATCACCCCACCCTCCAAAAACAGGTTAGAACCCAGAACGAGCAAAGAGCCACCTACCATTCCGTGCCTGAGAACTACGATCCTGATTCGGCAGTGTTTGCCCCAGAAATCCTCCCTACTTGTTTTTCATTAACCACATTCCAGACTGTAATATGGAAGAGATTCTTTGGAGATAGGGAAATTGTTTAAAATTAACGACGGACAGGTGATTTCCAAGAAAACCCAATCTTAAACTCACTCAAGCCCCTAGGAATCGAGGGGTGAGGACAAAAAAGGAGATTTGTAAAAATGAAAAAAGAAAAGAAAAAGGTAAGCATATAGCAAGCACCACCCACCCCCATAAAAATAAAAAGTGAAGGGGAGGTTAAAGAAAAAAGAAGAAGAGTGGCTTGCTGAATCACCCTCTTTCACTGCCTGGAAACCATTGTGCAGCGTGATGCTGCCTGTACCATTGTGGAACCTACCAGAGGAGACGGACACAGGGCTTGGGGAATGGGGTTGCTATGGCAACTGAAAGGAGCACACATGACGTCAAAGCCCAGAGAAGTCTAGGGAGGGGGATGAGGGGGAAACAGAAAGAGGAGAAGTCTATGTGCAGCTACAGCTACTGTGTTTTCCGGTTAAATGAGGACCAGGCAAATGTAAAGGAATAAGGTTCGTCGGCAGCCAACATCAGTAACTACGACATCAAGGCAGCCAGCCTGCACAACCTGAAGAAAAGATCCGTTGGATGCAGCTCTGGCCCTTTGCACAGCAGCACCGAGGAACAAATACCAGCAGAGCGAAACACCACTGGAAATGCAGTCAACCTCTGCTTTTCAACTATCTCCTGCAATATGTCTAAACGTCAACCAAGTAAGAGATGGTAATAAACCCAGAGGAGAAGCAGGTATTTGAGTGTCGCCTGAACCCCGAGGTCATCTGCACGGCACTATTCCTCTTCTCTGTTTCCTTGTTTTTGTAAAATTCCTGAATAAATATCCACTAAACCAAACTCAACAGACTAATACTTAGGTTGCAATCTGAGTGTACAAAGAAAAGACTGATTAATTTGAGTTCACACATCAAATTAATACTGATTAATTTCAGTTCTTTTTTTTTTTAATTGCAGATAATTTCCTAGAGAACTGATGCAAATTGTGCTGTTACTATTTAGGGTAAATATCGCAATTTTATTTAAGTAATTTGCTCTGCCTTTAACTGTCATAGGGTATTTTTAAAGTCTCCAAACAGTTTTACTAGCCACAAATAATAGTTTCTTGGAATGACAACAGTTAACTACTTGCACTATAAAAAAAAAATTAGGTTTACCAAATTTGTTTTACCTTTTTTATGTAAGAAAAGTTTTCAATACAAATTTTGCTTTAACCAACTCCAGCCTTTGGACTTGTCAAATTATGTAATCTAATTCAATTCCTTTTTTGCTTACCCTCCTTGAAGGTGGGTTTCTGGTTATTGCTACCAAGTAGTGCTGAGTTGTACATGATTCCACATTATGTTTTAGAACTAGCATCCTTATATGAATATGAACCTTCTTCCATATGTTACCAGAAAGATATAACATGCAACAGATGCAAACTCAGCAGTCACTGTAGACACTGAAACACGTCATAAAGCTGTAAGAAACGCATAAGGTTTTGCTGTCTTTGTTGTTGCTGCCGCTGTTTTATTTGGGAAGAAAATTTAGAAAAAGAAAGGCTTGAGTGAATTGTATGTCATTGTAGTTCATTGGATAAGAGTTTGGATGTCCCTTTACTCTAATTTCAGTTTCAAGAAGAATCAATCAAGACTACCTTCTAGTCTTCTCAAAGGGCCTACCTGCAAGATAACTATCTCATGCAAAAATACGAATTGATAGCCAAACTATTTATAACACAAAATAACTGGCATTCTGGCTTTTGAGGTGTTATATACTAAGTTTGCTTATCAAAAGTCAATTCCCTAATCCCACAGAAATTAAATCAGTATGTCAAAGAGATGTCTGCACTCCCATTTTTATTGCAGCACTATTCTAATAGCCATGGAAACAACTTAAGTGTTTCAACAGATAAATGGATATATATTATGTATCTCTCTCTCTCTCTCTCTCACACACACACACACACACACACACACACACAAGAATACTATTCAGCCTTATAAAAACAGGAAATTCTGTCATTTGCAACAACATAGATGAACCTAGAGGACATTATGCTAAGTGAAATAAGTCAGGCACAGCGAGACAAATACCATATAATCTCACTTATATGTGAAATTTTAGAAAGGACAAACTTGTAAAAATAGAAAGTAGAATGGTGGTTACCAGTGGCTGGAGGACAGAAAGGTGGACAGTGAAAAGGGGGACATTGGTTAATAGGTATAAAGTTTCAGTTAGAGAGGAGAACTAAGCTCTGGTGTTCTATTGCACAGCACAGTGACTATAGTTAATAATAATGTTGCCTATTTCGAAATAGCTAAAAGAGAGGATTTCGAATGTTCTCACTACAAGGAAATGATAAATATTTGAGGTGACAGATAATGAGCCTGATTTGATCATACTACAATGTATACATGTATCAAAACATCACATTGTAACCCATAAATATATACAATTATTATAAATTACAAATAAAATAAAACAACTTTTAAAAAGTCAATGCCCAGTAATGTAACATCAATGAGGAAAAAATGAACTCCATCTCTTACCTTACATTGTAAACACAAATATTTATTCAAGATAAATTGTACACCTCAACATAAAAGCTAAAATATATGACACTATTAAAATATAATATAGCTTTTTTAAAAGATGGCTTTCTTACCTTGCAATAGGCAAAAATTTCTTAGGATACAGAAAGCACTTGCCATAACAGAAAAAAAAAAAAGAGACTTCATCAAAATTAAAAGCTTCCACTTACCCTAAGTCACCATTAAGAAAATGAATAGACAAGCCACAGTCTAGATGATACATATATCTGAATACTCTTGATAGCTGAAAATATTCTGATACTCACAATTCCTAGATTATAGAAAACATCTCCTACAATTCAATAATAAACATGAACAAACAACTTTGTTTAACGGGCAAAAGACTTGGACAGGCATTTGACAAAGGAACATTTATAAATGGCCAATAAACATATGAAAAAGTATTCTACGTCATTAGTCAGCAGAAATATACAAAATAAATCCAAAATGAGATACCATTTCATGCCCACAAAAATGACTAAAATTAAAAAGACTAACATCATCAAATATTGACAAGCATATGGAAAACCAGAACTCTCCTACATATATTGGTAAGATTACAAAATGTTAAAATCACCTTGGGAAATTTTGGTGATTTTTATAATTATAAACCTACACCTAACGTATGACTCAACACTTCTATTTATAAGGATTCATCCAAGACAATGGAAATCTACGTCCTCCAAAAAAAAGTTGGACATAAATGTTTACGCCAAGCTTTGCTTATAATAAGCAAAAGCAGGAACAACTCCAAATATCAACAAGAGAGCAGATAATTATGATATACAGTCAGCCCTCCATGTTCATGGGTTCCACATCTGTAGATTCAAAAACTGAAAATCAAAAATATTAGGGGAAAAAGAATAAAAAGAACTACAGAGATAAATAAACACAAATAGAAGTACACTATAACAACTGCTTATATCGCACTTACTTTGTACTAGGTATTATAAATAATTTAGAGATGAGTTAAATAATAGGAGAATGGAACACTATGCCTTTTTATATAAGGGATTTGAACATCCACTGCTTTTGGTATGGAGGGGTTGTTCCTGGAACCAGTCCCCCTGAGACTACTGAGGGACAATTGTATTTGCCTAATAGAATATTACTCAGCAATTAAAAAGAATGGCAACCAGGAACAGGTTAATACCAATCATTTTCATCCATTAGGTCTTAATTTCTTTTTTTAAGCTTTTTGAAAATTTATTTATTTTTATTAATGTTATTTTTATTGACAATCATAATTGTATATATTTATGGAGTATGTTGTGATATTTTGATATATGTATACAATGTGGAGTAATTAAATCAAATGAATTAACATAACTGTCACCTCACTTCATTTTTGTGGTGAGACATTTGAAATTTACTCTCTTAATTATTTTAAGATATACAGTACATTATTATTGACTATAGTCACTCTGCTGTACAACAGATCTCAAAATTTATTCCTCTCATCTTACTAAAATTTTAGTTAACTAAAATTTTGGTTAACTAAAACTCTTTTTTTTTTTTTTTTTTTTTGAGACACGGTCTCGCTCTGTTGCCCAGGCTGGAGTGCAGTGGTGCAAACACAGCTCACTGCACCTTTGACCTCCTGGCCTCAAGGGGTCCTCCTGCCTCAGCCTCCTGAGTAGCTGGGACTACAGGTGCCTGCCACTCCACCTGGCTAATTTTTTATTTTTAGTAGAGATGAGGTCTAAGTCTGTTGCTCAGGCTGATCTTGAATTCCTGAACTCATGTGATCCTCTCGCCTTGGCCTCCCAAAGTGCTGGGATCACAGAGAGATGTGAGCCACCTCACCAGGCTTGAAATTCTTTTTTTTTTTTTTTTTTTTTTTTTATTGGTGGTGGTGGGGGGTTGTTTTTGTTGTTTTTTTTTTTTCTTTTCATTTTTTTTTTTTTTTGAGACAGGGTCTCACTCTATCACCCAGGCTGGAGTGCCGTGGTGCAATCTCGGCTCACTGCAGCCTCAACCTCCCAGGCTCAAGAGATTCTCCCACCTTAGTCTCCTGAGTAGCTGGGACCATAGGTGCACGTCACCATGCCCAGCTAATTTTTTTGTATTTTTGGTAGAGACAGGGTTTCACCATATTGCCCAGGGTAGTCTCAAACTCCTGAGCTCAAGTGATCCACGCACCTTGACCTCCCAAAGTGCTGAGATTACAGGCACGAGCCACTGCTCCAGGTCCATTGAAACTCTTTTGAAGTATTTTCCAAAGATGTTGATTCTTGGCATTAGTTACAAAGAGTGATAGATTCCAACCTTGCACATATATTTTGGTGTGGATCTTAGTAAACAGGGTTTTAATTCTCAACATACTCATTTCAATTATATTTATGTTATTAAAATAATCTTTTAAGTCTATTCTATACACTTCAGGAAAATTACTTTTCTAAAATTTGATTATGCAATACAAGTTAGATTGAAAAAAAAAAAAAATCAGTAGCTGAATAGTTCCTATTCCCAGTTGGATAAAACCAAAACTCTTGGGCAGGTGCAGTGGCTCACACCTGTAATCTCAGCACTTTGGGAGGCTGAGGCAGGTGGATCGCTGGAGGTCAGAATTTCCAGATCAGCTGGCCAACATGCTGAAACCCTGTCTCTACTAGAAATACAAATGTTAGTCCAGTGTGATGGCACATGCTTGTAATCCCAGCTACTTGGGAGGCTGAGGTGGAAGGATTGCTTGAACCCGGGAGGCAGAGGTTGCCATGAGCCAAGATCACACCACTGCACTCCAGCCTGGGCAACAGAGCAAGATCCTGTCTCAGAAAACAAATAAACAAACAAAAAAAAAACACTGTTTAAGGCCCTCAATCCTCAATCAGACAATTCTACTATATTTCTCTCTTGCCATTTCTCAATCCAACACAATATGTTTGAGAGCCCTCCCCACCAAATAAATGTTTTCAATGAAAAGAGAAAGAAAAAAGAACAGATACATATTGGGATTATTATGTTTGTCAGGCACTGTGTTTATATGTATTCATACTCACCATATACTCCCATAAAAGTATCTACTTACTTTCATTTGGCACTTACCATACTGTATTTTGCATTACTGCAACTTTGTGAATATGTAACATCTCACCTTGGCTGGGTTCACTGGCTCAGGCTTGTAATTCCAGCACTTTGGGACACCGAGGCAGGTGGATCACTTGAGGTAAGGAGTTCAAGACCAGCCTGGCCAACATGGTGAAACCTTGTCTCTACTAAAAATACAAAAATTAGCTGGGTGTGGTGGCACTTGCCTGTAGTCCCAGCTACCTGGGAGG